GTAGTAGTTCATTGTCTCAAGCATTTTATTCTTTGGTATTATAAGAATCTGATGCTTTGATTTTCTAACTGAAGTCTTTAAACATGATTTCAGATGACAAACCTCAACTTCTAGCCCAGGGGTAGTCAACCTTTTTATACCCACCGCCCACTTTTGTGTGTCTGCTAGTAGTAAAATTTTCTAACCGCCCACCGGTTCCACAGTAATGGTGATTTATAAAGTAGGGAAGTAACTTTACTTTATAAAATTTATAAAGCAGAGTTACAGCAACCTCCTACTGCCCACCATGAAAGCTGGAACGCCCACTAGTGGGCAGTAGGGACCAGGTTGTCCCTACCACTGTTCTAGCCTAATAGCCATAAGTATTCTGGAATTCTACAGAAGAAGGGTGGGTTTTTCTTTCTGTTAACCCAACATAAAAATTCAAAAAGTGAATTGAAACTTCTCCCAGTCTCCTAATTTAAAATAAAAATAAAAATTGAGCATTTTATTTTAGAGTTGTATATCCTCCTTTTTCTTGCAGACCAATAATTACAAGATTACTATTCCTATCAATTGTGTAAGACTGAATGATTAAAAAGAGGTAAAATTGTCACCAGTGCAAATTAGAATGAACACATGTTAAAGTTGGCGAGAAACTTAATTTTTCTTTTCTTTAACAAGAAAATGATTATAGAAATTGAATACCAAGCAGCATTCACGTCATAATCAATATTAGTCTGTTTGAGACCAACAATCGGAAAAGTTGGTAACCCAGAATCAAGTAAGTCAGCATGACAAGTAGTAGGGGAGGGTCCATTAATAAACACAATTTGAAATACAAGGAATATTGGGATATTGGCAATTAAAAATCACAGGAAGTAAAGATTATCATATGCACTGGGGAGGAGTAAAAACAGCAGAACCAAATATAGGAAGAAGTGAACAGAAATATATAAACAACAAAGGAGCACTGTGCATATGTAGTGGAAAGGGGAATAAGAGGGTGGGGGATATTTTAATGTTAAGAGTAAAAAACAACTTAGTAAAAGGAATTTATTAGCTAGATGTCAAACGTGATAAAATAACAATATTAAGGTATTGTTGTCTATTTAAACATTCATTCAGCTCTAACTGCATTTAATTTCTTACAATTTCTATGAACATTGAATATTTTCCTAGAGTAATGGATTGTAATTCTATGGAAAGTCCAGAATTCAAAATAATTAAGTACAATTATGAGCTCTTGAACTTCATTGACATATTCCTACAGGTGCATAATGAAATCTTACAATTGAGGCTTTAATTTTCATTAGTAAAGTAGTTTAAGTAATTGATGTTTGAGCAGGAAAACAATCAAATATTTTTATAGTAAAATAGTAAAATATTCATTCCTTAGCCCAAACCTTTTAAGAATAGCGTACTCAGATACTGATAAAATTGGAGCAGGGAGAATAATTGAAAAACACAATGTTTGCATTTTCTTTTTTAAAAGAAGGGGAGAGAGCCCCCTCAAATATCCATATTTTTATTAGCAAAATGTCTGTTTACATCAATGTCAATTAAATCATTGACATTTGAATCACTTTATTTTAACAAAAGTAAGAGATATGAAGCATAAATAGGTACTATATATGCAATTAAAATTCCTAAATTTTCCTCCATGTAGGATACCTGGTAGTAAATTTTTGTTCAGTTAAAAGAATCCAAGTTATTTTTACCATTGTATAATATTAAAAATGGATATTCTTTCATCTTTATAGTAAATACTTCTATTGCCCTTCTGTTATTATCAAAAGAAACAATAGAGTGTTGGAATTGAATGAGTATGTGTAAGTTATTCATGCTTGGGTATTAATGAATGAATTACCTCTTTTGAGCTGAACTTATTTAAGGAATTATAGTGGAAATGACTCCTTAAACTGAGGTGTTGCAATTATAGCATCATTATTATTATTTATTACAAGGGAAAAGAGATAGCAAGGAGCAAGAGAATGAAGACACAAAATTCAGTCCCAACTTAAAATAGATAAAAGATGGAAGAGGAACTCAATGTAGAAACAACAAGGGGAAAACATTATCAAGTATGTGCAGAACATATAGTGTAATTGAGAACACAGATTTTTTTAAAGGGGCAGGAAGACATATGCAACATTGTCCTGATTACAAATGGGTGAATGAAAAAGTTTCCTATTATGTAGGTACTAAGAGGTAACGGGTAAAGGTAAAATTTTACTCCTCTATTGTTGCCAACTATGGAGGGTGGTGCTCATCTCTGTTTCAAGACTATTGAGCCAATGCTGTCTAAAGACATTTATATGGTCATGTGGCCAGCATGATGTCACAGAGCGCTGTTACCTTCCCACCAAAGTGTTATCTATTTATCTGCTTGCACTTGCAAGCTTTTGAACTTCTGGGTGGACAGGAGATGCAAAGAAGAGATACATACATATAAGCAGTGTATCTTGAGCATTTGCTTATTTATCCTAATTCGGAGGCTACCCCGACTCTTCCATTTGTCAAGGCAGCTTCAAATAGAAAAAGCACACATGGAAAGATACAAGTAAAAAGAACCTTGGCCATCTGGGAAAACACTACACGAAGCCATTTATTAAAAGTAATAATTGGTTTCCCCAATCACACTATCCTAAGGCTCCAGAGAAGAACCAGCTTTTTTAACGGATTTAACGGAGTCACAAGGGTGAGAACTATACAAGTCTCCAGGGAGATTTCATTCCAAAGTGTAGGAGCTGCAGTAGAAAAGGCGTGATTCTTGTGGTGACAAAATAACACTGTTTAATTAATGAGACCTGGATTTGACCCACTTTGCTGTTTTCATAAGAGACAGGCAGAAACAATTCGAGATAATCCCTCAAGATAGCCAAGCCCTATGCCATGAAGTGTTCTAAAGGTAACAACCAGTGCTCTGGGTTCAAATACAAGCATTAACACAAATCATTTTAAAGTCCAACAGTCAACTAAAACCAGAACTTTACTTGCTGGGAGTAATGGGCAAATAACTGAAAAGAGGTGTAGACAAGATAACACTGTTTAATTGATGAGACTTGGAATTGACCCCCTTTGCTTTATCGTAAGAGATGGGCAGAATCAATTGGAGATAGTCTATCAGGCTTCCAGACCTGACACCCGCAGATAAGGAGGCCCTGTGTCATGAAGCGTTTTAAAAGTGATAAATAGTGCTCTGGATTCAAATACAAATATTAATACAAAACATTTTAAAGATTAATATTCAACTCAAACCAGAGCTTTACTTGCTAGGAGTACAACTGGAAAAGACTTATAGACTTAGGAAGAATAGTTTTGTGTTTTGGTAATTGTATGAGATTATTAAAATACCTGAACTACTAAAATAGAGGAATGGTTGATGAAGGTGACAGAATTTGCAGAGATGCAAAATTGACCTATTTAGTTTGAGAAAAGACAATAATTACAGTAGATAGGGACTAGAAATCCTTTCTGGACTTTTTACTGAAATTGGAACAAAATGCCCCTGTGATTGATAAGTTTAATAATTAGAAAAGATAGATAATGGAAAGAGGGAATTATGACATAACCATAGAAAGAAGCTAAAATTTGAATGCATTTATAACTGCTATACAAAATTAGAAGACATTTAACAATTTTTTTTTTAAAAAAAGTGATAACCAATACCTTGAATTGCACTTGGAAGCCAACTGGTAACCATTGCAGTTTGCAATGCGATGGTTTCATAAGCACATTTATTTATATATTTTATAGATAGATATACCCACCAATCTGAAATATAAGATTCTAATGGCTTACATAATGTGACCTTCCCAATGTTGCCTTTGCTACTACATTTTGGATCAGCTGTAACTTCTAGATGGTCTTCAAGGGCAGCCTCATGTAGAGCACATTGCAGTATTTCACTTGTGAGGTGACCAGGCCGTGAGTGACTTATCTAAAGGCACCCTGATCCAGAAAGAGATGTAACTGGCAATCTAATTTATCTGTGCAGAGTCCAGCCTGACCACAGCTGTCATCTGCTCTTTGAAAGGAGCTGGGAGGCCAGGAGGTCTCTTAATAAAAAAAATGCAGCTCCATTGAGAATTAATAATCCCTAAAGCTAGGGGGCTCAAATAAGATACTCCATCTTTTCAAGATGGAGCTTGATTCTGTTCTACCCCATCTACAGCCACCCAGCTTCTAGGCATTGGATTAGGACTTTTATAGAGCCAACCAAGTAATGTATATCAGGATGTAATCTGCATAATATCTGACCCCAAACTAACAAATGGCTTCACCCAGGTGGTTTCATGTAGATTTAATCGGAAAGGGAGAGAATGTCAAACCCTGCAGGAGCTAAGATAGGAATTAAAGGGCTGTATCCATGATCTCTTCCACCTGTCAACATTGATTCAAAGCAGCCACAAGAAAGGAGGAGAATTACTACCGAACAATGCCCACTACTACGTATGCAGGTTGAAAAAGTTACTGTGGTTGACACTACAGGAATGGATAAACCACCCTTATCCCAGCTTCATCACAGGTCATCAACAAGCATGACCAGAATTTTCTCTGTACTAAGCCTTGACCTGAAACCCAACCAAAACAGTTCCAGATCAACCACTTCTTGCATGGTTTTCTGGAGCTGAAGCCCAATCACTTCCTCTACCACCTTCTCTAATAAGTGGATAATCAAGACCTTTTTTGCTAATAAGACAAGATTGGACACTAGACAATAGTTGTCCAGCACTGGTTTCTTGAGGGGAAGATACATCACAACATTCTTCAATGATGAAGGAATCACTTCCTCATTTAAGATTACTCCCCAGGCGGCTTTCACTGTCCAATGGAAGCCTGTATCTAATAGACAAGTCTAAACTAACAGTTAGGAGAACCCTCTCCAGTCAGTTAGGAGTTAGGAGAACCCTCTCCAGTCAGTCAGGAGTTAGGAGAACCCTCTCCAGTCACAATGTCAAATTCCAGTTAACCCTACAAGATCTTGCCTTGGACTCCTCAGACTCCTGTCTGATTGGAATCTAGCTCTGAATGAATCCAAGCACCTGTTAATTAGCAAAATAATAGCCCTGCTCATGGTCCTGCTGCTCATTCTGGGTCACCTTATATAAAGCTGCTGGGCAGCTAACAACAGACACAATGAGGGCAAATTTTGGGCCCCGGTGAGGTCCATAATATGAATTCCTGCTTAAATTTAGATACTGGGTCTAGAAGAAAACCGAAAAATAACTCGCAAGATGAAAAATACTATCATGGATTGGATAGGATAGAATGGAATGGAATAGAATAGAATAGAATGGAATTCTTTCTTGACCAAGTATGCATATGCTCTCATTGTACATAAAAAGACATGAAAAGATACATTTGTCAAGAATCATAAGGTACAACACTTAATAATAGTCATAGAGTACAAATAAGCAATCAGGAAACAATATCAATATAAATTGTAAGGATACAAGCAACAAAGTTACAGTCCTGCAGTCATAAGTGGGAAGAGTTTGGTGATAGGAACCATGAGAGGACTAATAGTAATAGTAATAAAGGATCAAGAATAAAATATGAAAAACTGAAGAAAAAGGAATTATTGTATGTGGCTTTGATTAAATTTTCTGTTAGGGAGCATCTGACTACATAGAAGCATTTAAAAAGAGCTGAAAAGGAAATAATATTTCCTTTTCTAATAATACTATGAAGTTGCTATGGTAGAAGTAATTTGGGAATCTATAAATCTTTGCATCTCATTCAGTATATGTGGGAGTAGAATGAATTAAAAATGTGTGAAACATAGTTGTGTATAGTGGGAGAGCAATTTAATGATTCAGACTTTGGAGTTTTGATTATGTCCTGTTGTGTGGATACTGCACATAAAAAATAAATGTTTTATAAAGGACATGAAGGAAATAGGTTTTGCTGAAAAGTGGATTTAGCTACCTACGCCATTGTAGTCTCTCACCTCAACATTGCCCTCCTGGGATGCTCATACAATGAACCACCAGTTGCATTTTTATGAAAAAATGCTTGTGTTCTATTACACCAATTTTCTGGTCCTACCTCACTGAAAAACCATGGTTCAAACAAAAGAGGAGCGAATGTTTGGTTAAACCTGACACTAAGAGACAAGAGGAGCAAGCATGCAAGTACATCATGTTTTCAGTATAGTAAACCGTGGTTTGGATAGAGATTTTTAAAATTAAACCATATCATTAAGTTACACAATTGCAAAGTACCAAAACGTGTTTGGAATTCTTTACTAAATGAGTTCTCAAAGAGGTGTATAATCCCTGGTATCCTTTCTTCCCGTTCTCTCTTCACACCATCAGTAGCAATCCTCATTGTTTATTGCTTAACTCATAATTTGTTTTACTTTTCAGATCCAGCACCATCAAAGGAGGCTTTCACCTTCCTGAGCTCTACTTCTAATACTCCTGTGCCAAGTGTTTCTCTTGGTGGCGGCAGTGGTGGCGGCGGCGGCAGCAGCAGCACGATATTTAGCAGCACCCCTTCTTCCTCAGCTCCCCCACCGGCCTTTCTATTTGGACAGGCCAACAACACTGTGAGCAATTCAGCTTTTGGCAATGCTTCTGATTCAAATACCGCACAGTCTTTTGGGTTCGCTCAAGACAGCAAGCCACCAACAACCACTTCCAGTACAAGCACTCCTGTTCCATTCCTGTTTGGTTCAGTCGCCCCCACTAACATCACAGCTAACACTGGCTTCAGTTTCTCAGCACCTACCACAACGGCACCTCCTACAGGTATGCTTGAACATTAGAAAAGTGACTATAGAAGAAACTAGATTTCCAAATAAGAATTGCATGGGGAATTCTCAAGACTTTATTAAAATATGCAAAAGCTGAATTTACAGACTACCTCTGGGATGACGAGGCTTTTTGGTAACAATTTAAAACAATTATAATCAGTGAAAATATTATTATAAGTAATCGTTGCTTTAGTGTTGTATCAGCTTGTTAAATCCTATTGATGACATAAGAATCTATGTAAAAGCTATTACAACAGCATGAGCTATTGCGGTAGCTTTTCCATTAATCAATTACATCAGGTTTTAGAAATTATTCTAGGTTTTCTTTGGCTTCTTTTTTTCTGTCTTGCATTATGCCTGTTTCCAATTAGTTATATGTTCTTTAACAGAATTTATTTTTTCAATTGTCTGTTGCACTTGCTATTGCTCTATCGGACTAATCATAGAAATGAACTACAGTAACAATTAACATATTTATGCATTTTTCAATAATGGATGAAATAAAGTTTGGATGAGATATTTGCTCTTTAGCAGATCAGTGAGTTAAATGTGAAAGTGAGACTGAAATGTTACATCTTTGTTGACTTATAAAATCTATGATAAAATGAATAAGCTTGCATTACGGCACGTTTTAAATGAATATAGAGCTGAAAATTTGTTGCTAAAGGAAAAGCTAGCTGTGTACTATGGAAGCAAAGTAAGAAGTAGGAATATTATTTATTGGACAAGTGTGATTGGACACATAAGGAATTTGTCTCCAGTGAATAAGCTCTCAGTGTACATGCAAATCACAAAGTGATAAATCATAGATCATAAATCATAAGATAGAATCAAAAATCCTAAAATATAAATAGCAAGTGATAAATCATAAGTTACCAATAGGAGGAGGTAGTAGGAAAGATGAGAAGAGTAGATGAGAAAGGTGAGAAGGATAATAGCAATACAACTCTATTACAGTACATGAGTAAGCATCTTTAGGCATAATAGCACTTAGCAATAGCACTTAGACTTATACATAGCTTCATACAGCCCTCTAAGCAATTTAGAGTCAGCATTTCGCCCCCAACAATCTGGGTCCTCATTTTACCCACCTCGGAAGCACGGAAGGCTGAGTCAATCTTGAGCTGGTAAGATTTGATCTGCTGAACTGCAGCTAGCAGTCAGCTGAAGTAGCCTGCAGTACTGCAATCTAACCACTGTGCCACCTCAGCTCTAAGAAAATGTGAGATTTAGGTGTTTAGCACAGTGATGACATTGGGGGGGTGGGGAGGGAATGTCTTTGTGTCTGGTTGTTTTTGGCATGCAATGTGTATAGGGGAGAAGTTGAAGCAGTTTATTTTATGTCCAGGGTGTGAAGGATCTGTAGATATTTTCTCAGCCCTCTTTCTGGCTGGTGCAGTATACAGGTCCTCAAAGGAAGGCAAGCTGGTTGCAATTGTTTTTTTCTTTCCTGCAATCCTAACTATTTGTTGAAGTCTGTACCTGTTCCATTTGCTATGCCAAACCAGACAGTTATAGAAGTACAAATGGCAAACTCAATCATTCCTCTGTAGAATTGTATCAGCAGATCCTTGGGTAATTTGAGCTTGTGTGACAGTATTTAGCAAATGGTTCAACATTGTATTGTATGTAACGTTGCATTCAACATTGTAAAAATTGATTCGACATTGAGGATATTTAGTAAATGGTTGAACATTGAGGAAGGGGTATTGTTTAATGTATATTTCAGTAAAACATTTAAAGATGGAGAAATTGAGAAATTGTAAGATGTACAAATGCTGATGGAAAGAAGTAGTTCATTATGAAGAATGAATGTCAAAAACAGAGAACCTGGCTGGGTGTAAGAATGCGCTAGTTTTATGGAACTGAGAGTCAAATATGTCAGAAGAAATAGGGTCAAGACTGAATGGATGCTGAATGAATAGGGACTGAATTCAAATGTGAACATTCAGGCACGTAAGTGAGATAGTTGAAATTGCAAAATGGGAGGAAGGAAAATGCGAAAGGAAAATGGATGGGTCAAGAAGAAGAAGAGAGGAAAAACAAAGTCATGGCTGAATGATGTCAGACTGTATTGTCAGAGAGATGATTATCTTCTGCTTTCAATCTGTTCATCTTAATAATTTGCACCGCTGCCCTTTGCACAACTCTAGATCCTGAAAAGGAACGTTTGAAAGGTTTTAAATGTATGTGCAGTTCTCATGTTCATTCTGTTCATTTGTTTTTCTAGGTTCCGCTTCTTCCTTTGTGTTTGGCTCTGGATCTTCGGTTTCTACAGCTGGTCCAGCTTTTGGTGCTAGCCAGACACCAGCGTTTGGTCAAAGCCAAGCCTCCAATCAGACCAGTACTCCATCCTTTGGATCACTTTCCTCATCTTCCTTGTTTCCTGCTAGCTCTCTGCCTGCTCCTCCAGCTTTTGGGACTGTTTCAAATAGTGCCCAGCCGTCTGTCTTTGGACAACAAGCTAACCAACCACCTGGTTTTGGTTCAGGTGCAGCTCCCAGTACTGGTAAGTTCAAACTACAATTTTCATTCCCTAACTAGTTTATCTTCTTTGAAAAAAAAAACCTCTGCTTGGTTTTCAACTTTCATATCCAAAACTCCCCAATAGGTGAAGATCGGAGTTTGTATATCTCTTTTAACTTCCAGATGCTACCTTTGTAAGATTTGAGTCAGACATGTTGGCATGTTTCCCTTATATCAGAGTATTTTTGGATGCAGGGATCCTTTTTATTCCTCTCGTTATTTCCAGCTGCTTTCTTCATCCATGCATGACTGATGCCTCATCCTCTTTGCCTTTGTCTTCTGCACGGCTGCTTCGTCCATACATGGCAATTATGATTAAATCAGTTCAAACTGTAAAAATAATACAGATTATGAATGACAAATTTCAGGTTATTAGTTTGGAAAATATTATTTCTATAAGCAAAAGAATGCTGGGACATATCATGTCAACATTCCTTAAGCTGAACATTAATTCCGTTTGAATGTTCATTTCAAATATATTAAAATCAGAAATGTGATTTACAGCTAGGTTTTCATATTGACTTCCAACACAAGGTTTTGCAGGAAAGATTGAATTAGATGCCAAAGTTCATGATAATCAAGATTTATTTGTTGCGATGGAAGTGATGTTGTGAACAAGGGTCCCCAAACCTGGCAACTTTAAGACTTGTGGACTTCAACTCCCAGAATTCTCCAGCCAGCTATGCTGGGAGTTGAAGTCCACAAGTCTTAAAGTTGCCAAGTTTGAAGAGCTGTGTGTGGAAGATAATTAAAAAATATATTTTCTGTCAAGAGAGATTGTATCAAGGAAAACACTTTTTGGATATATTATTAAATCCCAGTGTTTACTCTTCAGGTCAAGTATTCCAGTTTGGAAGTAGTACTGCTAATTTCAACTTTTCAAGCAGCAATCCAGGAATATTTACCTTTGGTGCAAGTTCAACTGCACCAGCACAGCCAACAGGTTCTTCGGGATTTCCATTTTCTCAGGCTTCATCATTTAATTTGGGGTAAGAAAAGGATCAAAACAGATTTGCATGCTATTGTGTTATTTATTGCATTTGTTTGGCATGGAAATTATTTTCCATGAAATACTTTTATACCATGCATAGCAGTGAGTGATGGCTTGAGGAAAAGAACATGCAATTTGTATGAAATAAATGAAATTAACGTCAACATTAGATGTTATTATATTTGCTGATATTAGAAATATATTGTTAATGTTATGCTTAGAACATTAGTATTTTAAAGTGATCACATAGAGCGCAAAAAATAAATGTAATTTTTGAAACAGAAAGGTTGAGATTCAGATTCATCATCTGGAAATTACACAATTTAACGTTTAGAAAAGTATTTCTTTGGTAAAACAAATGCTTTTATCTATTTTATTTTACAGTATACTTGTTTATGTTTCTTTAGCAGTACTAAAAGCTTTCAGATATATTATTCTAAGTTCCTTACTCTTGATTTTTCCACCCCTCCCCCCCAAAAGCAGGAATAACGGGAAAAGTGCATTCTCCACGGGATCTTCAGTGCCTGGTCGGAAGATAAAGACGGCTGTTAGACGTAGAAAATAAAAATATTAACAATTGTTACAGACAGCAACTTTCTTACCACAATTGGTTGCCCTGCATTGTTCAGTTCCTGAATTGTACCTCATGTTGGGTTTAGCTGAAGCCAGGACTGCCTAAACTCTGCTCGCTTTTTTCTTCCCGTTTAGTTATTTTAAAAGTAATAATAATAATAATAATTAGAAATGGTGGTAGGGAGGATCTTGAGCAAAACTACTTTAGAATCCAGCAGTTTTTCTTCCCTGACTTGGCATGGTCTGGCTATAGATATAAATATAGCCTGCACAGCGAATGGCTTCATATAATACCTCTGTTTGCACCCACTTTGTGCGCTCTTCTGCGTTTATGGACAGTTCAAAATTGTAATTATATTAGAGAGGGGAGTCTGTATAGAATAGAGAATGTGGATAATGAATTTTCTTTGCCGAGTTTGTGCTGATGTATGTGTGAAGTGAGCGAGTTGTGTGTATAGTGCACTAAAATTTTCTGATAGAGGAAGAATGGTTAAAGAATAGTCCATGCTAAGGACTAGTTAGATCAGTAGTATTTCATTCAATAATTATATGCTCTTTCTATTTTCATTCTTACTCCTTATCACCTGTCTCGCCTTTTCATTATTTTATTATGAAACAAATGTGTAAATACTCTTCTGTTTCTCTATGTACTTTGACATAACAAATCTGTGAACTTGAAATTTTAATTTTGTGTGTTATGGCAAATTTTTGTTTAGTATTGTCTCAGATTTTATTATGTAAATCTCATTATTCAAAGTTGCCTAAATCCATTAAAGACATTTAAAATTGGGAATTCTTAAAGTAAATTTATTGGCTTTTCTGATCCATTTTTGTTTGGACCAAAAACCAGTATTGTACAAAGTGTTAAGTATATATTTTTATATTTACAGAAATGGACTCTGGTGACTTTGGATAATAAGGAAAAGTTTAATATTAAAGCCATGTTTATTACAGTATAATTAACATGTTAAAACCATGGGATAAATGCCATCAATAAAAATTAAGAAATACACTGGTCTGAATGTTAATGCAGACATACATTTTGTATAAGCCAATCAGTAATGATTTATATGTTCTCAGTAGGTAGATTTATGTCTGTGGTGTAGAAATGTCTTCTGGCATCCTCTATTTCCCGCTAAGTACTTCCAGGATCTAGGACAACTCGCAATGATCAACTCGCCACAGGACAACTTACCATGTCCAAGTCACTATGGAACAACTCACCACGGGACAATTCAACGCTGTACTAATCATTTCATTCAGTTACTTTTATTATTGGTGACCATGTTCTGGTCAAAATTATTGTAACTCTTGTATTTTTGGATTGACTTTCTTATTACTGGCAACAACTCTGTTGAAATTAATGTACCTTTTGTATTTGTTCAATTGTCCTGTGGTGAGTTGACCCACAGCATGTTGGCTGTGGCAAGTTGTCCCATTCCACAGCCATCCAGCCACGTGGTTCTATCTAGTGCTTGACTCCCCCCCCCATTATTTTCCCCTGTCAGCACCACACCCTAAATGTTTTCCAGTCTGTTCTCACATTATCCCCCCCCCCCATACATTGCCCCCTGCCCCAGATTATTTTTCCCAGCCTAGCCATCTACTCAACATGCCAAAAACTGCAACTTGGTTTTTTGAGGGGGAGAGGGGTTGTTTGCTCATTGTGAAAAGCAAAACAAAGTTGCTCCTTTAAAAAAAAAAAGTAGTTACCGTGATACTGGGGGAGGGGGGGAGTGCTATGATATTGACTTGTGGCTATAACCACTTTCAGGATATATTCTTTAACAGGCAGTTGCAACCAATGAAGATTGCAAATTCCTGATATTTTGTTTAATTAATACAAAGCAATGTATTTTTTTTCCTGCTGGTATATTTGTAAATAAGGCACTGCCAAATTTTCTGAGCCAGAGAGTTGAACATAATTACTAATCAGTGGCTAAATCTTATTGTGTAAAGGGCTTACAAATACAATAGAAATACTAAGTTTTATTTATTGTTTTGCTTACTCATCAAATTTAAATCCCTGACCATCTTTACAAAAAGTGATTCTGGGTGGCATACAATAATAAATTGTTGATGCCAAGAACTCAGTAAAATTTAAAAAAGATGTGGATGATTGGTTAATAAAAGGATTGTATTTTTTTTTAATTTCTACACAAAAAGATTGCATCTATGCAGAGTCAGTTATAGAAGATTCTGGAAGTAAGAAGTGGGTTTCATTCTTAGAGTTACTTATTCATTCTTTATTTAACAGTTTATTGTACTCATGTAGACTAAATGCAGCTTACAAACAGCAAAATACATGAATATACAAAATGCAAAAAGGGCAAAGCCAAACTAATTAGCCAATGAAAGGGCAATCTAAGCATTGATGGTTGCCAAATGCCCTCTTGGATATCCAGATCTTTCTGAAGGCCAAGAGGTTCACGGTGCTCTATATCATTGTCGGCAAAGTGTTGGAAAGTGTAGGACAGCCAAGGAGATGCATCGTTTGATCTCTTTCCACTTTCACCTCCTTGGGCTGGGAATCCTCGGCAAATCTCTCCTAATTTCTTTCCAAGAATTTGGGCCGACCAAATATAATTAGGACAGAGAAGCCTGTAAGGAGTAATATGGGCCTCAAAAGATAATACCCAGGACTTTGTGTGGAGTCCGAAACGAATTGGCCACCAGCGTACTGACTGCAGCTTTTACATTTGCTATCATGTGCTAGCCATTGGTCACTGCACTAGGGACCAATTGAAACAGCTCCTCTTCAGAGAGTAGCTTAGAGGGGAAATGGTGAGAACGTGTCGCTGTTGTCAGAATATCCCAAGTCAGATAGGCCCAGCTGCCCAAATGGGGCCACGTACATCATCCCCCCTCCAAGCTGATCATAACCACTGTCTGCTGTTCTAGCAGGAACTGAATTGAGAAGGACACCAACCTGCTATGACCTTACTGAATACATATGAGGAGGAGGCGCAGTGGTTAAATGCAGCACTGCAGGCTACTTCAGCTGACTGCAGTTCTGCAGTTCGGCTGTTCAAATCTC